CCTGGTGAGGACATCCAGCACAGGGTAATCTCGTGCGTGGGAAATTAACGTCTTTTACCCCTTACCCTTTAAGAGACGGGACCTCCGGCTTTACGTTCTATCCGAGAAGACGAAACAATGTGAGTGAAGTGTCTTGCTTAAGGACTCAACGTTAGGCCCCAGCCAGGAGTTGAACCCGGGCCGTTTAACCCAGAGTCCAGCGCACTGACCACTGGACTACACCTCGGAAATATTTCATTCCCCGGCAGAGTTTGATTTATTTTAAGTATTATAAGTTGGTAGATGCTAAACCTGCGAGTTCACTAAGATATGTTATGTTCCGCTTGAGAGCTTTTTCCAGTCGAGGATCAGGTAATCAGACAACAGGAACTTCACTCCTTCGTTGTTGTTGGTTTTTTTGTTTTTTTTTTATTTAACTTTCATCCGCCTTTTTGGTCTTGAAAACTCGTAAAAGATTTCAGTTAGTCTTTGAGGTTGAATCAGTTGTCTCACTTGTAACTCCGAATTCTCAATGCTTCCTTGTAAAAATTTTATCTTTGTTTTTATTGAATTGTCGCTCTACTTCGTACGAATCAAACATGGCCGCCTCTCAAACTTGTCAGCTTTGCAGTTGGCAGTCTTGTCGTGTCTTTTTTCCAACCGCCATCTTACGTGAAGCTCTGCTAAGTCTACTAGCGCTATGTTTCCGTCTTATGAAATCCATGCGGCACCTATTATGTGTCGCAATGACTTTTACTGCTATGAAGAATGGCTAAGTGGGGTTTTACTTACAGTATCCTGTGATAAAACGTTTGAAGGCCTCGTCCCAAGTGGGAATTTCTACTAAATAAGGTATGTTGCGGTGCTGATGATACATGGGCACAAACACATCTTTGCGATTGCACACAGCATAAATGTATCGAGACTTGCTAGCTTCATCAAAGCCCTTAGGTACCAAGCAATAAGGAAGACGAGTTTTGAATTACACGAGGCTCAAGGAAGATGGCGAACATTTTTAAGGCGGACTCGGCATCAGTCACATGCATCCGCCTGATACGAAACCCAATTTTCCCGGGGAGGGGGGGGTGGGGGGAGGAAAGGTATTTCCCAACCAAATGCGGATGCACTAACCTTCGGGGATTTCAGGTAAAGTACAGTTTACCATGTATAATCAAATATACACGCTTGATTTCGAAAATAAAGAGGTTAACGAGATGCTTGAACACCCATTAATGAAGCAAGCATTCGCTTGTTTTACGGCTACCGTCAACAAAGTAAGGTGCGCTCCGGTGAAATCGTCATATGGGCGCTGTATCTAAAGTTTTATTGCACGATTAAAACAAACTTCTGCTTCTTTTATTCCGATCACGTCCAAATAAACGGTTACAACAACGGAGAGAGAAAACAGAATACATTAGTATATATATATGCTAATTCCTAAAAAAGAAAGTTTGAATAACAAACGGAAAAGAAACACCTGGACCAATCATAGATCAAATTAACTATTCCTGTGAAATATTTCAAATTTAAAATAACAACAGCAAACATAATATGCATAATAACAACAGTATATCAAAACTTTATATCGCTGTGAAGCTTTTAGTTAAAAATTCTGAAAATAGCAAATGTTTGGACTGTCTTTATTTTTGTAATGACGCTGACCAATGAATTTGAAATTTATTATGATTTTTAAAGACATAATTACTCATTTTCATTAAGAGAGGTGAAATTCGATAAAATCCAACGTTAGATATGTCTGCTATTTTCTTGTCTTATGTATGAGTGATCTCAAATGGCATCCGTCAGAACCTAGGGTATCGGGATACTAACGTGTTCATTCAAGCCAGCTCATCGAACTGCAGTGAAACCTCAGTTTGGAGACGATCGGTTTTTAAGGTGATGCTTCGACAAAACCCCGGTAGCGCACCTACTGAGTCCGTGGAACCTACTAAAAGCTTTCAAGTACCTGGTACGTTTAGGCAGCAAACTCGTACCTGATTAAATCGTTAGAGGATAACTAAATTTTCCTCTGGGACAAAGAGCATTTGCCCAGAACTACGAAACCAATAAGAACTATTTGCAAGACTTCATTTTTCATCAATTGCAGTAGTATATAAACCTATTTGTTGATATATTCAAATTATTTCGTTACCCCCACCGACGCAGCCCCAAACAGTTTCTTTAGAAACTATCAGCCTTTATTACAACGAAAACTCCTCACAACGCCATCTCGTAAGGCATCATTACACGAACATGACAATGAAGAGGCAGTACCCAGACTAATAGAGGCCCCCTCAGTATTTTTACAAATAACCGGGATTATAATCCATCAAACATTTTTGCTTTCACGTTATTGGCCTAAAAGCACCTCGTGATTGACCAGATAAAACAGGGCTTATTTATCACGCGTTGCAAAATTATTTGAAGAATAATAAACAGAAGAGCCTTTATCTGGCGCAAAAATATGCTCGTTTATTATCCAACTGTGCTTCGTAAAGTACAAATAACGCCCAAAACGAGTACAAATATTTGTTTATCAACCTCAAGTATCCTTTTGCGTACAACGGCGTTGATTTGGAAAGAAGTAGAATAATTCAATAACATGTGAATTCATTTTGTCCATTTACCTTTGCCATAAACGTCGTTGTTAAACTCTATAAAGTTACTTTTCAAAGGAAGTCAAAATTTAGTCCTGTTCCCCGTGTTTAATATTACAAATTGCGTTTTTGTTTAATTTCCGGGCTACTACAGTGACAACAGTTCTCTTAATTTAGCTTCAGTCTCACCAGCTCCTACCCTTTCGCTGAAAATTTTATCAAACAACTCATTCTGTTCTTCAGTAAAGTAATCTTTCCATCCTCCTACTCGTCCCTTTCTGATAAAACCGTCCCCTTTCATTCCTTCAAACCAAGCAAAATTGGTGTGTAATTAGAGCTCTTCATGGCGTCGAAGGACGTTTGTCGGACAATGAGGTCACGTGTTTCAAGAGAAATCTCTTTACCAATGAATTTTGCTATCTTTTGAACAGCATCTTCTGGATCCTAAATAAATAAAATTTCATAAGTTTAAGAGCAGAATTTATTTACTTTCGATAACAAAAATTAAAGAAACGCAGGGAAAAAAGCCACATGATTACAACCCGACTCAGTTTCATCTGGCATTAAAATCATTTAGAACTGTCACGCCTCCAGGCTAAAATCTTGCAAAATTAACCACCTTACGATTTTCTACAGGCTCGTTATTCGTCTGGTACCTGCTTGCTACGAAAGCTATCCTTTTTAAAGATTGATGAATTCACGAAAAAGAGCCATGCACGAGGTCTTTGGAGGTAGATCGCCGCAGTAGCAAATTTTAAAAACCTGAAATTGTAAGAGGGTTAAAAAATTGTCGGAGCGAAATGTAGGATTCCATGATAAAATGAATACTTGGGCTTCAAGATCCATGAATAGTTTAAAATGTTTTTTACCTTTATTCTTTCCTCGTATGTAAGAAACAAAATGTTGGGATCGTCCCTTTGCTTCCACCAGCCTAACACGTGATCAAAATGCAAGCCAAATGCAGCTGTGCAATGGAAGGAAATAAAGAAAAGGCTTTTATTAGAATGCACAACTTTACATTTTTCTTTTCGTCGCCCTAGCGTCCTTTAAAACTTTTTCATTTCCTGAATTTGATTTGTTTTGAATTTCGAAAGATGATGGACGTGTTGTGAGGTAAATTGGAAGTTGTTATTTTGAGACTTTTTTAGTTAAGCTTTTTGTTTTGTCAAGCCTTGCCTTTTGCGTCTACGTATTGTTTTGGTACATTTATAGTTTTGATCTTTTATTTTTAGTGTGTGCTTGAACTTGGCTCGGTTCGCGGATTTCCTTATTACTGTGTTAGACATCTTACTCGCTTGTTATGGTAGAGAGTAATTAGTTTCATAGGTGGTCATGTTTGGGTTGGTTAGATCCTAAAGCTGTTGTCATTGAAAAGGGTCAAATGGGTTATACTTACAATCTCCTGTAATAAGACGTTTGAAGGCCTCATCCCAAGTAGGGAATTCCACCAAATAGGGCATGTTGCGACGATGATTATATATAGACACAAACACATCTTTGGGATTGCGCATTACATAAATGTATCGAGGCTTGTTAGCTTCATCTAAGCCCATCGGTACCAAGCTATAAGGAAGATGAGTTTTAAATACACGAGGTTTAGGGAAGCTGGTAAACACTTTAACGGCGGACTTAGCATCCGTCACAGTATAGGGATAAGATTTAATGCCCAGAATCATCCCTTCTACAAAAGGCACTCGCTCATCCAATCGACGCTGGTCGATTTGACCGTCATGAAGAATTTGCCAGACAATTTCCTGAGTCCAAGTGGAACCTGGCATAAAAAAAAAAAAAAAAAAAAAAAAAAAACAGAAACCTGCACAATTTCAGGGAATTTATAATTCTGCCATTTTCTAAGGGTTAGCACCACCACCTCTTTGATTGGAAGTGTATATTGGGGTAAAATAATTTCTATTTTTTAAAATCTTTTTTAGTATCACATAAATAGACCCCATTGTTTTCAAATTAAGCAAGTAATTAGTATTAAAACTGATTTTCAGCGACTCCACACATTGTAGAGTCAAAATTTTATCGTTTGTTGGAACATTATTCAACTAAATTCAAACTGAAGAATTGATGATAAATTCTTCTGAACGCAAAACTTACTACACTGCGCGCTAAACCGATACGAAAAGGTCGGCTTGCTGTATAGTTCATGTATTCCTGTCGTTACAGTTGTTTTTCTTGCTTTCATTTGTTGTTATTGTTGTTTGTTCTTAAAATCAAACGAGGCCTGATTACAATGTAAATATCTTCGTTTCTGTTGTAGATGTTGTTTTTGTTGTTGTGGTTGCTTTATGCAGGTCTTGCTGCCTTTACAAGCTCAGTGTAGTTAAAGTGAGGACGACAAACCTAGTGCTCAGTTTGAATAAGACACCCGAACAAATCATATATTGCGTTACAATGATTTTCACTTTAACAGAAAAGACCCCTGACGTTTAAACGAACCTGATCGTGGATAGGACGCAACAAAGATATCCTCTTTCCAAGCCGGCAATTTAGGAAGAACGTCCATCATTTCTTTCCTTACATCCTTTCCCAGATGAAATTCTTTTAAACCCAGCGGTTCTATCTGATCGCCCATGCCTCTTGGAGATAACTTTCAGAGATTATACGAGGTTAGAAGCACTCTGAAAATTCATTTGAAGAAGTTTACAACGTAGGCGATAATTTATAACAACACTAGTGTCCGAAACTATTAAAGTTGAGAAAGCCTAAAAAATAAGACATGCTCAAGGTAATGTGCAAATATTCTTGGAATCAAGATTATCCTTTTTTTTAATGTCAGAGATGAAATTCGTTAAAAGCCAAGCGTGACGTTCGCTAATGTCTTAGACTTTCTTGCCGTGCACGGTATAAATAATCTCAGTGGTATCCATTATCATCGAAGTGCTGTTGTAAACTTCATGAATTGTATTGCAATTGATTGATTTAATTGATTCCTCCTAAAATACAACAAAATGACTTCGTAGACACAACCTCGTCTTCGTCTTCGCTTCGAAAAAGGACTGATCAAAGTCTACTGTACATGCGATTATTGTAGTCAATGTTCACGTGTCAAATCACAGCCTGGAGAGAATCGATTTGATGGAATTCTTGGGCAAAGCACACACTAATCCGTTTTCAAACGAAAACAGAGCTGTTTTGCTCTGTTTTCAGAAAGATTTACGTCTACACTTATCGTTTTCGTATCGTTTCGTCCGCCACCCTACAAGGCCGTATCCGTTTTAAAAACCCTTTTATATCCTCAGTGCGCATGCTCGAATGAACTCGACGCATGCGCTATTCTTGATTCTTTGCTGTTGAGTGTTGTTGTGGTTTAGAATTCTTTGATATTTTCCTTCTAAACGATGCCAAGAACAGCTGGAAAGCAACCAAAACCTAAAACAGGCTGTTTCGGCACATGGACTGATGATGAAGTCGAGCTACTTCTGAAAGTCACAAACGAATACAAAGTGCAGAAAAGCACCGAGAGTGTAGATTGGGAGTCCGTCCAGTCGAAGTATGGCGACATCTTGGATATGTTTCAAGCAGAGTATCCTAGCAGCGAAAATGTGGCTGCTTTAGGAAAGGAATACCCTCATAAACCGGAGGATATAACTCAGGCTACACTATCCACGAAGCTAAAGGCAGTTCACACGAAGTTTAGACAAGCAGTCGACTCGGGAAGGAAGAGTGGACATGGCCGCGTCGTCTTGCTGTATTACGAGCTCTGACAAGAAATATGGGGCGGCTCGCCAGCGACAAATACGATAAGTTCCGGCTTAGAATCAAGTACATTAATTGATGATATTGACGTAGAAGGTGCTCCTGATACCCTTGCAACGGTGGACGTAAATGATAATGAAAGCGAAAGCCCAGAAGATGAAGAGGGAGCACAAGATGATGCAACTCCGACCAGTAGCACCATCAAGCATCGGCGGGAGCAACTTAATTCGAAGCTGAAGTGCTACAAACAAGAAGAGTTGAAGAGAAAACTCCCTGTAGATAACCAAATGCTAAGTATTACTCAGGAAGAATTCGAAATAAAGAAGAAACTGATCACTAGAATGGAAGAAGTTGATAAAGAAAACTTAAATCAGATTGGGAGGCTGCTGACCAATATGGGAAAGCTAACAGGCTCCATAGCAGAGGTGTTTGCTATGCTGAGACAGATAATGCTGAGCCCACCACAGCCACCCATGCATCCTCACTATCAGCCCCACCAGTCCTATCCTAATGTGGCACCGCTCCGAGAGTCTGGTAGCGACAACAGACAATTTTCGTATACACAGGCTCTATACTCCCAAGATAATCAACTTCCCTTTAATTGAACCCAAAATCTAAGTTCATTACCACCTCTTAAAATATTTACTACTATATTGTTGAGTATCAGTAATTTTAAATGATCCAATTTTACTGTCATGAAACAGTTTTGTGACCCATATTTATTCATATTGTTTATTCAGATAGGGTCTCAGTTAATAACCCCCAACCATCCCAAGAAAGTTTTTGTTGATACTGAAATATATAAAATATTGTGAAAGGGCCTATCCCTGTTTAAAAATATATCGATGGGTGGTTGAGCATTGAATAAAACTCATGTCAAAATATTTTTTCTTTCAGTTCTCTTTATTTGTTTAGTCTTTGATGACTATACATCTTTACAAAAAAAAAAAAAAAAGAAACACATTACCATAAGAAGAACCAAATCAAGAGAATTGCGTTTTTGATAAACTGTATACACAATTTCAATGGAGGTTGCATTCTGTGGTACCCCATGGGAGAGCCCTTTTCTGTAATCAGCAAATAGTGTCCTGTGCGGGAAATTTTTACAGTGTATGCACTACAAAATTACTTGCCCCATAAAGCACTATGGGCTATGAAACATGCATCCCAGATCACAAAAGTTCAACCTTTTCTGTTTGCAACAACAATTTTTAACTTCTTTCATTGCTTTGGGCCTAGGTTGAATAAATGGAAACCATGCTACAGTGTGCAAATGACAACAAAGCAACATGAACAAAAAGCTATTGATATTGTCGCTTGTGGCCAGAAACTCGTGAGTGCTAAAAATCGCTTCCCTACAAGCAGAGCTTTCTTTGAGTTGGTGTTTACACACATGGCAGAGTTACAACTCAACCACTTTAATGATCTATTATAGGAACACATTACCAACATTATTAAAGCCAGTCAATATTTGTAACACACTTCTGACGTGAGTGTAGGACTTTCATACAAATACTCAAAAGTCTCATCATGATATTGAGCTTTTGCATGACAGCAACACCCACTCTCATGACAGAAGTGTGTATCAAAAATTTTTAACCAAAGTGGGAGAGTGTGATTACGGCCAATAGTGTATTATAGGTAAATTTATAACGATCATAACATATTGCAGCTTCCTGTGTAATAGAGAAATGGTCAAGGATCAAAATACTTAGTTAGGACTCTCCTGACTCTTTTTCCCTCTGCCTCGTTGCTGTCTGTTATGGAATGTTTTGTATTTAGCGGTGGCTGGAAGTGTTTATCAAAGGCAATGGATGCCAAAACTTTGTTCTCTCCAATTTTCTCCTTTTTCACCTCACAAAAATTGTGAAGAACAAAGCAAGCATAGATCATAGATGGAAGCTCGTCCAAGTTTCTGTCCATGGCTCTTTTTAAGACAGCCAAATCTTGCCTTTAGTCTACCAAAAGCACATTAGATCACCATCCTAGACTGACATAGAGTCATCTCGAAGTACTGTTCTTGGACTGTTGCTCCACCATTAGAATATTCTTTCATCACGTAGGGCATTATCGGGTAGGCAGGGTCTCCAAGTAGGAATGCTGGAATAGGGTCTTCATCAGGAGCTATAATCCGCTTGCATCGTAGTATGATGCCATCTCTGGAGATTTGGTTCAGTAGGGAATTTTGAAATACCCTGGCATCATGGACACTGCCTGGCCACTGAATTACAACATCAATAAAGCGATAATCATAGTTACAAGTAGCCTGAATGTTGAGACTGTAGCGCCCTTTTAATGAATAATGGTTGTTCAGAACAATGGCGGGCTATCGATGTTGTCTGATATTCTTGGCTTGGCTACTAATGACAATTGTCCTACACTCTTTAAAACCTAACCGTGGTTTCGGTAAGACGTCCTGCAGTATCACTGTGTCGACGAGTTTGGATATTAAGCAGTATCCAACGCGAAATTCTAGTCCGACTCGGAGGTTCCGACGTGAAGCACTTGTGCCGCCATCTTTGAAATGTATGGCCGCACTGAAATTTGCAAATATCACTGTCTGTGCAACTTACATGGTTCTGTTAAAGGAGATATACAGGAGAATCCAGGGCCGGTGACAGATGGTTGCGCTGTTTGAACTAAAAGATGTCGAAAGAATCAGATGACGATACAATGCGATTCATGTGACAAGTGGTTTCATGCTAAGTGTATCAGTATGAAGAGAACGAAATATGATGAACTTTGCGAACCTTCTCTGGCTTGGGAATGCATAACTTGTTTATCACCTGGCTTCGATACACCAGTCCGCAAGTCACATGAAACAATTAACACAGGAGTAAAAGAAGGAAAGCCCAGTGGAAGGATAAATAAAGATCTTCATGCAAATCTTAAGAAGAGAGGAATGAAATTTGCTCATGTAAATATTGCAACTTTGCGGGACACTACCGACGCCGAAGTACTAATGGAGAAAGAAGCATTGGATGTGTTTGCGGTGACAGAATCGCGTCTGGATTGTACATTGCTCGATAGTAAGATATGTCCTTTGGGTTATACGTGCTACACAAAAGATAGAAATCGAAATAGTGGTGGTTGCGCCGTTTTTGTAAGGAGCAAATGGCCAAGCAAGCGGAGAAGTGACTTAGAAACTGACTGTTTAGAAATGGTATGCGTAGAAATATGTCCAGAAAAGGCTAAGAACACGATATTTGCTGTGATGTATAAACCACCAAGTATGAATCAAGAGAAATTTATCTTAGACAGATAGTTTATTTGAAAAAAACATTGCAACCGAAGGTTGAATTACGTATTCATTTACAAATTTAAGAAATATATAAAAATGGTAACATACTTTTAAAATATTAAAAATTAGGTAACATAGATAGAGTCAGCTTCTATAAAGCGTGCGTAAATGATGAACGATTAAACTATCATGGCACCTGTTCGTACGAACCACAGGTAAATTGAAAGCGCGATTTTCCTTGATTCCACCCAAGATACATTCTTGGGTGGCAGGAGCTTATGCAGCTTGTGATTTGGTACAAGAACGTTAGAAAAGAGCTTGTTGGCGACATTCTCACGCCGCTCATGCAGCGAGATAAGCCCAGTACACGATAGCGCCTCGTCATATTCTTTATCAGGGAAAATTATATGTAATGCGCGCTTCTGGCATCTTTCTAAATCAACTGATAAATATTGAGGTAGGCTGCTGTGAAAGAGCGCGCATGCGTATTCCATAACAGATCTCATACAGTAAGATCCTTAAGGTCGGCACACACGAGGGGACTAGTCCCTGCGACTAGTCCGTGCGACTAGTCCCGGCGATAAGTCTTTGAAGGGTTTACACGAGGGGACCGGTAGCAGGGACTAGTCCCCTCG